TGGGGTGAGGGTGGGGAGGACATCCCTAGGAAGGGGCAGGGAGGCTGGTGTTCCTCAGGGACCTGCTGGCACTCACCTTCGCCAAAATCTGGTCCCAGGTGTCCTGGTAGTACCCTTTGTAGCTCTTGAGTTCCTCCTCATCCTCATCTGTCACGGTAGTGACAGGGACCACTCCAGCGGGGAAGTCCAGGCAGTTAAACAGCATGGTGTAACTGATTGCCACTGTGGGAGAGGGGTGCAATCACCGCATGAACTGTGTGTGGGGAAAGGCCTTCTGCACGCCTATGGCAAATGCACAAAGCCACTTCTAGTTAACAGATTATTTGTGTTGAAAAGACAGCGTCTGGGAGAAGAAAATCTTGCCCTTTGGCTCCCTTGTGCACCACGATGGCTTTTGGGGGCTATCCAAGATGCTGGGCCTTCAGCAGCCCCAAGAGCTGAGCGCATCCCACCTGAACAGTGCTTGGAGAAGCTAGGGGTGAAGGTCAGTATTTCCCTTTCAGACTGGTACAAGCGCCTTTACAACTGGTGCAACAGGAGGAGAACACTGGAGGTAAAGGATTAAGGGCGATTTCTGCTGCATCCACAGACAGTCCTACCTGAAAGCTTCGCAGGGTAGCCAACAGGAAGAGCAGGACCCAGCACGGGGCAAAGCATGACATCCAGGTTCAGCTTTTTCCACTGGGCGATGAATTTGTGGCAAGACTCCTGAGGAGCAAAAGCATCATGGGGCAGCAGGGCAGAGACGCTGCCACCCATCTGCCAGCTGAAAGTTCTCCGTGGGCTCCCAGCCTGGCTTCCAACCCTTCCCTAGGAGCAGCCACCCGTTCTGGGGCAAGGAACATCAGGCCTGAGCCCGATAAAAAAGTCCATCAACATTTTGCTGCCCGACTTGCACCCCTCCCTGCAACCAAAGCACTCTTTCACATGCTAAAATCGGAGGGCAAAGAGGCAAAAAAAAGCACTAATTCAAGAAAAGGAATGTGTTTTTTAAGTATGACCCCTGGCTATTGAATCCACCTCTTCCCAAAGAATGAAAGAAACATCCAATACCCCAAATGGTGATTATTTACCTCAAACTCACAGTGAAGGCTCCAGAGGTCTTCCACTGTGCTGGACAAGGAAGTAAAACATCTCAGTTTTTATATTCCATTTTTCAGCTGGCTGCAGTCCCTTTCAGCCCTCCCACTGAACTTGCACAACTGGGACTCTTCTAAGAGGCCAGTCCTGGATAAAACAGGCCAATCCCCTGATGCGAGGACAGCTTTGAAGGCACAGCACAAAATACACCCTCTCAGCGATGGAAATCAAGTGTTTTCTCACCACTGGCAGCGCACCACTGGCATCAGGGCAGGCGAGGGCAAGCCCCTGTGCCTTGGCCTTTCATTCTGTCTTATGCAGCCCCTACTTCATACAGTGATGGATTCATCAACCAGTGCTGGAGCTAACAGCATATTTAATGCCTGCAAGGTTCATCTAATTCATAAGGAAGAGGCTGTGACTCCCTGTCCCCATTACCATCCTCAGTCAAACCCCACAGAGTTATGGCACTGGCATAAATTTCTGATTGCTCCCATCATTGCCTTATGTTTTCCCAGATGCACAGGACTCTGAGGTATCCCTAATGTAGAAAACATTGATGTCTATTTTTTAAATCCAGAAGAGAACCCCAAAACTTTATCATTTGGCTTAGACTCAGATTTACTCACTTTGCTCTTGTGTTTCTTAAAAGACTCGAAAGTCGGGGCACCTGAGAAGAAGAAAGTCATAAAGAAAAGAACTTACATTAATTACAGTCTTGTAATTAATGTGGACAGCAGTAGCAGAAAAACAAGTTGTTGACTCAGTGCTCAGGCAGGATTTGTGGATTTTCTCCAAAATGGGCCCAGGGGTAACTGTAATGGCATCACTCTGGTTTAGAGGAGATTTGTCTAAACACAGCCAGGAAACAAAGCCTGGAGCACTGCCCATGGCAAAGCATCATTCCAATGGGAAACAAGTTATTCACCAAGTATTGCTTGACTCCATCTATGCTAGGAAGAAATAAATCTTACAAAGCGATTGATAATCCAGGACAGGACAGTTTTTAGCCAGTTTGGTGTCCTTGACAGCCATAATACCAGTCGCGTGAGGCCTTCGACTATCTCTCCTTTGCTGAAAAGGAAAAGGATGTTTAGCTGAGCAGCATTAGGAAGCAATTACAGTAGATTAGCTTTTGTGTGGCAAACCCACCTGAACAATATAGTTAAGAGAGAGAAATAAGTTTCTTCATCCCTTTGGGTTTCCGATTCCCATCGTGTCTGGGCATTTATGGGCTCTCTTAATCTGACTCCCTTTGATCTGTCACATGCTGGTCACGCTCCCAAACAGCCCCAAGATTCAGCTGAATTGCTTGTCTGTAAGTTACCCCATAAATTTCAATGGGTGTAGCCTCTACATACTTCCAGTGGCTCTACTTCTCACATACAGACACTGGCCTCAGACACCCTAAAGTGGGGAAACTGAGATGCAGCAAGGTTAAACAATTCACACAGGACATCTACAGCAAAGTCAAGAACTGAACCCAACTCTACCTCTTCCAGATCTTGCACTCAGATAAAGAGCAAACCTATCTCCCCTTGGTCTATCCAGCACTACACTAGACCTAAATTTAATTCAATCGTTTGTTTAAGAAACCCAGGCTCCCCTAAGGGAAGGCACTCATAGAAAAGCACTGATCACACCGAGCTGTTCCAGGCTATACTTACAATTTCTTAGCAAATGATTTGCCTCCATCTGCAAATAGTCCTCTAATAAATAAGTCAAAAATGTAGTAGTTGGTGTTATCGAGTTCGAAGGGCACCAGCTGAAATGACAAGAGAAAAGGAGTCAGCGCTACAGACACAACAACTGGGTGGGAGAAGCTGTCGGGCCTCACAGTGCCCTGAGCTGGGTTTCTTTTGGCTAACACTGAGGATTTCTTGACATGATCCCCCAGGACAGCCTATGGCGTCTGAGGCCACCAGTCCTCTCATCCCAACTATCCCTACCAATAAAAAAGCAGCTTTCCCTTTGAATGACAATTGATGATTCAAAAGATGCAGAATGGGCTTGTTTTCCTGATGCTGAAAGAGGCCCCAGGGCACACACACAAAAAAAAAAACATTTACAATGCTGCAGTGGGTGACAGAGAGCACGAATCTGCAGTCTTCGCTCCTGATTTTCACACAAGTGGTTATTGCCATGTCCTACCGTGTGACCAGCATCCTCCAAAAGCTGCTTCATCTCCCGAACAGCACGTCTCATGGCAGGGCTTGGCATGGTGAAGGAATCGGTTTCATAGTAGCCTATGCGGAGCGGCTTTGTGCTAGAATACACCTGCGGAACAAGAGCATGCTGCAGCTGGAGGGGTGCCAGCCCTGTCAGGAGCTGGCAATACAGCCATGCCTCAGGGCACGACTGGAAAACAGTAAATTTCTCGCCCACATGTCCACCCACAACATGCAGCAGGCTGGAATGAGTCCCGGGTTGCTCCTGTGAGCCACTGGCCTTCCGAGATCAAGCAAAGGCAGCTCTCCCACAAGCTCATCCTCCCTGTCTGGAGCCCTTTACCTCTTCATTGAAGGGAAGTGGGGGAACTGTGCTGTCCAAGTTGAACATGTCTTCACAGAGCAGCGCCCGCATACTCAGTGCCAGGGACTCCACATCTTTCGCCATCGGCCCCACAGCCGCAACCACTGGAGGAGACCAGAAAAGAGAAGAGTGTTCATGGTTGAAGAGGGAGGTGTCTTTCAAGAGGCTGCACAGCTTGCACAGGGGATGTTCTCCAAAAGCAAGGCCCCTTGGTATAGTTTTGATCCAATCTAGTATTAGCAACAGTTCCTACTAGCAATCTTCCTCTCCCACAAGTCCTCACAGCAACAACTATGGACCCAGAGTCACTATACCCAGACATCATGCTCAGAGACTTCTAGTTTCTGATCAGACAGGGTCAGAGGAAAAAGGGTCCTCCAGCTGGCCTATAGCCTGAGCTAGAGCCATGCATGCTCCAGGAAAACCAGGTTGCTTGGGCCTTCTGGCCATAGCTGCACAGTGCAGCCAAGTACAGCCACAGCACAACACCCTGCCTGTTCCCAGGGCACATCTTGAGCTCTGTACAACTGCCCTTACTGACATGCAAGACACAGCGGGTCTCCTGGAAAGCTCCTGTGTTCAACTTGGCTGCCTTGAGTCGGCTGTGTAATGCCACATAGGGCTAGTTTTAGAAAGGGGCCCCCAGAAGGGAACTTATACTCTCTGAATGTGTTGAAGAAGGTCCCCCATAGCCAGCTGAGGTTCCTTCCCATCCCTATCCCACTCCCCTCCCTGGAGGACAATCATCAATTCCTACCTGACTTCTGCCCAGGGATTCCAGAAATGGTGCCTCTCTTGCTGTGAAGTAAGGACACAACAAACAGCAGCTGAGCAGTTTTCAGAGAAGGGAAAGCCTTTGAGTATCAAGTGCTGGTGAAAGCACTGCCCTGCCTAAGCAAATGCAGAGGTCAGGCAAGGAAAGACTGAGAGGAGGGCAAGGAGAGAAGCACTCAGTCTAGGCTGAATAATTTATGCCCTGTTTGTCAAGAATGACACCCCCCCTCCCTTAATATGGGGACAGGAAAGTCTCCCCCATCTCTGTTCTGAGGGAACATTCCTGTTTGGGAACAATTCTTCCCTTCATACAGGTGCCAGGAAATGTCTGGATAGCAGGGAGAAATGAGCCCTGCCTGTTGCCTTTGACAAGGGAAGCAGGAGCATCCCGGCACAGCGGTCAGGGGGTGCCAGGGGGGTCTCACCTGGGCAGCTGCACTACTTGCAGTACCTGAGTCTGTTCCCGGTGGGTTTGAGTGCACAGATCCCACAGAAGGCAGCAGGCAAACGCAGACTCCCTCCAAGGTCTGTCCCAAAGCCCAGTATGGACCCACCTCCTCCTATGAGTGCCCCTTCTCCACCAGAAGAGCCTCCGGAGGTTCTGGTGTAGAGCGTAGGATTGAGTGTCTGGCCAAAGATTACATTATTGCAGTCATAGCTAGAGAGAGAAAGAGGAGAGGAAGAGAGAAAGCACATGTGTGCAGGTTAGAGAATTGTAGTTATCTGTGGATGTGGGAGGTCACATAAAAGAAACCCAAGCCATGGCTGGCTTTAAAAGCCTTTATAAATAGGCAATTCACTAGTTGTTACATTGACATCCCTGAGGCCTAGAGAGCTTCCCAAAGCTCCTGAGAAGATTGGCATTTTCACAGTGGCCCCAGGACTTGAATTCACTGCCAACTAATTTTAGTGCCAAGTTATCCTCAGAGTGAAGAGACAGACCTTGAAGCAGCGCAAATCCATCACACCTCTTGGGAAGATTCCCCCTGCATCCAGGTGCTACTGAGAGCTGCTGGCCGTCGGAAGCAGCCTGCTCATGCAGGCCTGGGGCTCCTATGGTGGGAGGATGGCAGAGCACGAGCCCCTGCTTGGGAACAGGCTGGATGCAATCTGCAGGGCTGGGCTTCCCCAGGAATCAGTATAAAATGTGATAATCCCAGCAGGTGACCTTTCATGTGGCTTCCCTCCCACACACTTTATTTTTTAAAATTTTATTTATTTATTTATTTATTTAAAAAGAATGTGGCCAGTCATTGCCACAAAATTAAGGCAGTTTACAGGGGCTCAACAGTAGTCGTCCAGGGAGCAGGTTGGCCGGAGCTCACTCGGCAGGACACATGGATGCTGTCAGGGGAGCTCTCCAGGAAAGCACACCTTACCTCAGCCAAACCAATGACACCGAGAGTGGTCTTGCCAGCCACATCAGGAGTTTTGGTGGGCAGGATAATACCCAGGAAATAAGGGCAGATTTCTCTTTTCCGCTTCTCCTCTTTTGTCTCTTTATTTCATTTGGAATCGCAATTGATTTTCATTATGAGTACCTTTCAGACTTAGAGAGACTGAGGAGGGGGAATAGGTGTCAACATTTAAAAAAAGAAAGGGGAAAGGAAAATTAGCCTAGAATTGATAAAAGCCCTCATGTGAGACCAGGGACTGAGGAACACCACTGCCGCCAGGGAAAGGAGGAGAGGGCAGGAGGCTCTTCACCCACCTGACAAGGGACTGAGGGACGTTGGTTCTCACAAATGGAATTGCCCCCTGCCTCTTCAGCACCTGCACCAGCACACTGTCCTCTGCTGCAGGGTTATTGATGTTACTCACAAACCCCATGGTGGAGTCGTAGCCCTGGGAACAGAGGACAGAGGGGTTTCCAAATGGAGGTTTGCAGTTTTACTCACCAGTGTGGCTTTTATGTAAATGCAAAGGAACTTTTAAGCACCCAAGAGTACCTGTTTACATAATACATTGTGTTATTTATAGAGATGTGAGTCCACCTCTGCTACCAGTTCCTCTGGCTTGTGTAGGGATGTCACAAGGACAACGGACAGACCGGGGTCCCCAGGGGAACGGTAAGTGCTGGAAAGCTGCTTTCCCGCTCTCCAGCTGGCCTCCTGTTTCCTCCCCTTCCTGTGCTCAGGGAAGGAGGTCACAGGGCTCCCGCACAGCTGTGGTGGCAAGGACGGCGCTCAGGAACCGCGCTACCGGCTGAGGCACAGATGGGACCTGCCCTACAATACTCTGCCAGGGACTGACAGGATATTCTGCAGTAGAGGAAATATCTAAATAAATCAGGGCATTGACCGGCAACCAGCACTTCATGAGAGCTGGTGGGGACACTCCCACCCACCATGCAAGCTTACTGCATTTGTAGTAAATCTTACCAGCCTTCTTCATTTGCTGATGTGGGAGATGGGCAGCAAATCCCATCACCTGGCAGGGCAGGGGCACCAGTGTCTGCTACAGCAAGTGCCGTGGTGCAGGCAGATGCAGAGGTCGAGCCTCCCCTGCCACTAAACCCAAAATCGTGGGGACCTTGGGACAGGCAATGCTGGCAGTACCTGGCAGTTGATGGAGTCCTTGATGCTGACGGGCACCCCAAAGAGCAAACCCGGCTTCTCCGGCCGTACCGCTTGCTGGAACTGGGTTTCACTTTCCCACATGTATTCCGTGATGCAGTTGGTCTCTCTGGTGATTTGGAGGGCCTGAGGGGAATCGACAAAGCCCACAGCGGGGATTCAGCCCATGCTGTTAACCACTATCTGGAAAAGGGTATCTGCCTCTTCCCCTTTGCCCACCTCCCCACTTGGGCAGTTTTCTCTCAGGGCAGCCCTCTGTGCCTCTTTACCAGATGCTTTCACGCCAAATTCAAAAATACTTTCTGGATGCAAGGGGACCACAGCATCAGCTGGTACAAACAGATGCGTCTCAATGGACACTCAGCATAGCAGAGCGCAAGAGGCTCTTCTCCTGATTGTAATTCTGCTGTTGTGCAAAATAACACCCAAAGTGTAAAGCAGGAAGAATTTTGAACCAAACACTGTGTCTTTGAGGTTTTCTAGCCCACTTTGTCCGGGGGCAGAGAGAAGACATATGAGCAACCAGCTATTGAATAAATATATCTTACAAGGTATAGATTATACATGTCCCCAAATACATATGGACTTCCCAGATACTGTGTTTGCTGCCTGTTTTTCTGCAAGCCAAGATGCAAGCCAGACATCCCGATCTCTTTAGCTTGCAGAAATGTGCTGACGGAACCAGGGCCACCCGGCAGGCAGTGGCCGCCCCGCCGCCTCTCAGCCAGGCACTG